GTTTGGTTTCCTATAGCGAACAAATAAACAAACTTCCTCTTTTATATATATAGATTAACTTCATAACTTTCATAATTAAAATATAAATATCCTTACGCCAAAATTCTTACTGCATAACTTTAAAGCTAGCTGTTGCTCCTGTAAAGCTTCAAGATGTGATAATAGATAGTTCTTGCGCTAGAGATAAAACATCACTAAAATGCTGACTCACTCATATATTAGTTTATTTAAAGATGACATTTTTACTCAATAGATGGCATACAGTTAGAATTGATACAGTCAGTTACGGAGTTTCTCATCAAAAAGATTTTAAAATAATTAGATTCCATTACATAAGCTAATGCTCCATGCGTATCACTTTCTTTAGACTTTACCAAGTACGTTCATTAGATTTTCATAGTTACCATTGCCATGGCAACAACTGTTGTTCACACATAGAATCTACTGCTTGATCCAACGCAGGCATCAAGCTTATTTCATGGTAAACGTAATAAAGCTACTAATTAATAAGTATAATACAGTCTGATATGAAGCGCTATAAATGTACATATTATAGCACAGGAAGTTCATGCTAGTCTATCTTAAGATATTTCGTGTTTCAAGAAAACATTTTTATTGCACATTCTGAATCTAAAGTATTAATTCGAAGTTCAAACACATAATAGCAGATACTTATTTTGTTCGCAATTAATAACAAGGTAAGCATTACTAAATTAAATCCTAAACCTATTTAGATCATTAGGTTATGATTCTGATATCATCATTTTATTTGAATTTCAGGCTTAAAAAGAAGTATTTCCATGATATAAATATATTTGAGCTTTCCTATGTTTTTCTTTTTGTGTTCCTAATAAGTTAAGAAATATTTTATGGTCTGGTTTATAAATCTTACATATACATACATTTTTTGTTCAGAGTCCACTGTAAGTAATGTTTATATGATGAATTGTACTAAGGTTGAGTATGTTATATTAAAACGATTTTGGAGCCTCATCATGTCGTTATAGGTTATGTCGCCACGTCTTGTCATGTGTCATACTTTTTTTCTGACGACCATACCTCTTGATAATAGCTCTGCAGCATAGTTTCTATAGTAAAAGACTCCGTGGTAAGGCTGTCATATTTAAAGCACGCCCCTTCTCCCTGGATGCTTTCCATGAGCTATCTAATTTACAAAGACGATGGTTTTCAATCGCTCATTTCATCAGTCCGATCCCACAGAAATCAATAGTCGACTTGATTTGTATATCTTCGTATGGAATAGCATGAATAGCTGTTTCGTTCTCTAGTTGCTTTAGGTATGCGACAGTTCAACGAATATGTGGTGGAAAAAATTCGTGTACACGTGACTTGTGTCGCATTTTCACCCAGAGATCGTTCTTGATTATGTTACATGTTGGTGTCTGTAACATGTAGATAGCTTTTGCCACTGGACCTTGTGCTAGTGAATTCTTAACTGTTACACGACGCCACACATTGCTTACCAAGGCTGGGGTACAAAGTGCTTCAGGTCTTTTTATGGTCAGCACTAGTGGCCCTAGTTGACCCACATTCCTTTGTTTTTCAGTGCCATTAAGTACAAGAGATAGGGTG